AATATTTACATAGAAAATAGAAACAAACTTGACATTTAATTTAAATTTAATTTTCTTGAGCACTGCAGATTCAATTAATGAGAATAGGAATTCCAAATGATCATTTAACAGATATTTGATTGTAAACAATTTTTATTCATCAAGTGTGCTATCTACGGTGGCCTGAGTTTGTTTATCACTGCATCTCCAGTGCAGGTTAGATCTTTTCGTGAAGAAGGTTTTCGATTGACATCAGTAAATATGATATAAAATTAATTTCTGATTTAGGAATCAGTAGCAGCATTAAAATTCCCAAGGTTAGCAAAATATGTATTATCTATGCATTTTATTATTTGGTAAATTAGAATAGCATGCATCAATATTTAATGGAAGACAAATCTTATTCATCAAGTGTTCCATTAAATGAGGCGGGGGTTTGTTCTGATCATGTTGTGTCTCTTTCTTCTTCTTGTGAAAACATAAGCTGTAATAAATACATGTAACCTGCTCACCCACGACAAGGATGAGTCATGAGAAAAGTAGATTGACCCTCCTAAAAAGATCTCATCAGTTGACATTCCACCATAGTGGTCATATTCAATTCAGAAAGTCTTTTTAAAAACCCGAGACATTCAAACTCTTTTAAAATTATATGGTATTAAAAAATCATCGACCATAAAATTATATGGATTTTATTGGATTATTGTTGAAAATCATGAATAAATCATATGGATTCTTAAAAATATATTATTATGACTATAATTATTAGAAGTGAATAAATATTATGATAATGTCTATTAATATTATTATAATCTATTAAATAAATAATAATAATTTCAAAATTTTAAATACAACAGAAAAATATTAGCAATTTTTTGAAAAATATATATTTTTAATTGAAATTATTAATTAATTCTTATTTTCTCTTGTATTAAAAAATAAATATCCAAATAAATTTAATTGAAAATATTTGAAGAGAATATGAATTCAAATCACTTGACAATGATAGTGTGAAGGAAATTTGTATTAAAATTAGATTATCATTATTATTATTATTATTATTATTATTATTATTAGAAATGATAAATATAATATTTATTAATATTATTATAATCTTTTAATTAAATAATAATAATTTTTAAAACTAAAATATACTTGCGAAAAATAATAACAATTTCAAAATTAATTTTAAATATAATAGCAAATATTAGCAAATGTTTCAAAAAATATATAATTTTAATTGAAATTATTAATTAATTTTTATTTCTTTAGCATTAAAAAACAAAATATTCAAATAAATTTAATTAAAAAAGAGACATTATCGCTCTTCATATCCATTTTACCCATTAACATTTCACAAACCTTAAATTAAGAATACATATAGACATATAAAATAAAAAAATTAAGATATAAAAATATTATTATGCTACAATTATTATACATCATTAATAAAATATATATTTTTTATTTTAATTATTATATTTTGGATTTTTTATTTAATTATTTAAATATTTATTAAATTTAAAATGTGTTTCATATAAATTTATACAAATTATATAATTAATAAAAAATATTCTACAATCAAAATTATAAAATATCCAATCAAATCTATAAAAATTCATTTATATCAATACATAAAATATATCAAACCCTACCTAAACACGGTGAATTTTTTAAATTCATATAAATTAATAGACTTTTTTAAATCCAATGAAATTTAGATGCCTCTTAGACTCGAGATATATTTTGCCGTGATCATAACCAATATATAGTATTAGTATGTTAGTCCTATTTTATAGCATAATCAAGGTTATCATGGCCCCTTGCTTCTTGGCAGTGCATCGGTATCACAAGATAGCTCCCCTCAACATTTAACATGGCCGGCGTCTTGGCATCACCAAATCCACCTTAAATTTTTTGACTCAGTACATGACTCAGTTTGAATTCAAAACCTGTTGAGAGTTAATGTGTTGAATCCAAACCCGCTAGTACATCAACTTCCTCCAACCACTTCATTCCAAAAATTGATGGAGAAGACTACGACTTGTGGTACATCAAAATGAAGACCATTTCCGGTCACTTAATCTCTGGGAGATTGCAGATAAAGGGTTTGCAGAAACAGCCGAGGAAGAAGAGCTCGACGAAAATGCTGCGAGGAAATTGGAGCAGCTGAGACAAGCTGACACCAGCGCTCTTTCGATAATTCAACGAGCCCTCACTAAAAATCTTTTTCCTAGAATCAGGAGAGTCGACACCGCTAAGACCGCTTGGGAAATTCTCAAGGATGAATTTCAAGGAGATGTCAAAGTCCGAACAATTAAGTTGCAGACGCTACGGACGGAGTTTGAGAATATCACTATGAAAGGAAACGAAATGGTGAAAGATTTTTCCATGAGGTTCATTGATCTCGTCAATCAAATGAAGCCACATGGCAAAGAGATTTCTGATAAGAGGATGGTGGAGAAGATAGTTATTTGTCTTCCCGAAGATATCGACTCGATCGTGTCTGTCATTGAGAAAACAAAGGATCTCTCAACACTCACCGTCCAAGAAGTATTGGCGTCTCTCAAAACATTTGAAGAAAGACGTTCAAGGAGGTTAGAAAAATCCATCAAAAGTGCTTTCCAGTCAAAGCTAAAGTTGGGCAACCGAGAAGATATTACGAAGTCCGACTCCAATCAATCTCGGGCTGGTGGAAATTTTCGAGGACGAAGACAAGGCATTCGAGGAAGAGGACGATCTCAAAATGCATCATTTTGCAACATTTGCAAACGATCAGGACACGTCAACAAAGATTGTTTGTTCAAGAATAAACCCAAGTGCAACATTTGCAACCGTTTCGGTCACCTTGGAAAAGATTGCAGGAATCGAGGCGCTCATCAAGTAAATCAAACAGAGACACAAGAACAACACGGAACATTCTATGCTTTCCATACCGTGAGTGCCGAAAGAAGCAAGAGATGGCTACTCGATAGCAGATGTAGCAACCATATGACCTCAATAAGAGGAATTTTCAGCACCATTGATGACAAAGTCACAACTCCCGTCCAACTTGGAAACGGCGCACTCATTGAATCAAAGGGACTCGGGGCCATTCCGATCAACACAAAAGAAGGTGAGAGCTTTATTTCCAATGTTCTTTATGTACCAAGTCTAAACCAAAATTTACTTAGTCTTGGACAAATTTTGGAGAATGGATACAAGCTTCTCTTCGACAACAATGAGTGCACAATTTTTGACAAGCATGACAAGACAAGGGTGTTTATGAAGATTCCAATGGTGAACCAAAGCTTTGTTCTCAATATCAATTATTTCCACATAACTACAAATCGAGCTGATACCATGGAAAAATCAGAACTATGGCATCGACGGCTTTGGTCATGTCAACTATGGAAGCCTCAAAGCCTTATCGGATCACAAAATGGTGCATGGACTTCTGGATATCAAGGAGAAACACGATGTGTATGATATTTGTATGATAAGAAAGCAACATCGACAACCTTTCCCGAACGATGTAGCTTGGAGAGCCAAAGAAAAGTTAGAGCTTGTTCACACCGATGATTGCGGAATGATGGACACTCCAACACATGCGGAAAATAGGTACTTTGTACTTTTTGTTGATGATAATTCACGTATGACATGGGTTTATTTCATGAGGCAAAAGTCGAAGATTTTCACCATATTCAAAAGATTCAAAAGCCTTGTCGAGAAGCTAAGTGGATGTGCCATCAAAACCTTAAGGAGTGATAGAGGAAAAGAATACACATCAACGGAGTTTATGACCTTTTTTGAGGATGAAGGAATGGTGTGCAGTCGATGCTACATGAGAAAGGACGTCCCAAAACTTTTTGGGCCGAAGCCGTCTATACCACGGTGTACCTTTCCAACCGATGTCCAACAAAAGCAATTCAACACAAAACCCCGATCGAAGCTTGATGTGGCCGGAAACCTTATGTTAACCATCTCAAAGTATTCAGGAGCATTCACTACGCTCAAGTACCGAAAGTGAAGAGAACAAAATTCGACGAATCAAGTGAGCGATGCATTTTTGTCGGATATAGCATGATGAGCAAAGGGTACTGAGTCTTCAGCCAAAAGCAAAATCGTGTCATCATCACTCGGGACATCCAAGTAAATAAAAATGCCTCATGGAATTGAGAAGAAAGCATAATTGAAAAGAAAGGGATAGTAATGGACTTCACTCCAACGGCAAGAGAAGAAGTTAACAATGAAGGAGAAGATGAGGCTGAACAATCAAGTCCCACCTCCTCAAATACCACAGATAAGGCTGATCCGTTCAGTCCTAACTCATCATACACTGCAAGTCCAAGTCCAAAGAGGTACAAATCATTGAATGACTGCTTCTTGCAATTATTGTGCAGTTGAACCCGAGAACTTTGAAGAGGCTATGAAGAAAGAAGCTTGGAGAAAAGCAATGAATGAGGAGATTCATGTGATAAAAAAGAATCACACATGGGAGCTTGTTGATAGGCCATCAAAAAAATATGTAAGTGAAGTGAAATGGATATATAAGGTGAAGCAAAATGCTGATGGCTCCATTCAAAGCACGACTTGTTGCCAAGGGATATTCACCACAAGCTGGAATTGATTACGACAAAACCTTTGTCCCGGTAGCACATCATGACAAAATTTGAGCCATCGTCGTACTTGCCGCAAGCAAAGATTGGACACTCTTTCAACTTGATGTGAAATCCGTATTCTTAAATGACACTATAAAGAAAGAAGTTTATGTCGAACAACCACCAGGATTCACCGTCAATGGAAAAGAAGATAAAGTCTACCGATTGAAAAAGGCATTGTACGGATTAAAGCAAGCACCCCGATCTTGGTACAGTGAAATCAACAACTACTTCATTCAAAGTGGATTTGAGAGGAGCAAGAGTGAGCCGACATTATACGTCATGAAAAAAAGTAATGATGCTCGTATTGCAGTCCTTTATGTCGATGACTTGATCTTCACAGGTAGAAACAAGGAAATAATCGAATAATTCAAGCATGACATGGCTCGCAAGTATGAAATGAGTGATATGGGTTTTCTCCGACACTTCTTGGGAATGGAGATTCATCAAGAAGAAGAAAAGGTGGTTATTTGTCAAAGGAATTATGCCGAAAAAATCTTAAAGTTCAAGATGCTCGGATGCAATCTAGTCTCCACACCCTCGACTATGGGGGAGAAACTAAAGCAAGATGATGGAGGAAAACCGGTTGATGAAACTCACTACAGAAGCTTGATCGGGAACCTTCTTTACCTCACAGCAACACGTCCTGACATCATGTTTGTCACAAGTCTCTTGACCCAACTCATGCAAAAGCCAAGCCAAATCAATTTTGGAGCCGCCAAGAGAGTGTTGTGCTACATCCAAGGTACCATGGATTTCGGATTAAGTTACAAGAAGAGTATTGATGTCAAATTCATTGCTTATTGTGATAGTGATTTTGGAGGATCCCTTGATGATTCAAAAAGCGCGTTGGGATATTGCTTTAGGATGGGATCGGCTGTTTTCACATGGATTTCAAAGAAACAACAAAGCGTTGCACAATCATCCTCCGAAGTGGAGTACTTATCAGCAACATTAGCCACGTCTCAAGCCATTTGGCTAAGAAGAGTCATGGGTGATCTCCGACACGAGCAACAAGAAGGAACCATGCTGTATTGTGATAACAAATCAGCTATCTTCATGGCAAAGAACCCAACGCACCACAACTGTACCCGTCACATTGCTCTCAAGCATCACTTCATTTGGGAGGTAATTGAAGACGGAGAAAAAAGGTTGGAACATTGTTGATCGGAGGACCAACTTTCAGACATCCTGACCAAGGCACTACCTCAAGAATGATTCCAACAACTTCGAGATGCTATGGGAATCGAACAACACATTAAGGGGGAGTGTTGAGAATTAATGTGTTGAATAACTGTGAAATAAACTCCCATGTTTTGAATTTTTGGATTAAAAATTTTAACTTCAAATTAAAAATTTAATAACATGGTTATGAGGCTTTAATACGTGTCGCTTACGAGCTTATGTAATATATATAGATCTCAAACCTTCATTGTAATTATCCATATTCTCAGCATCATCTTGTTCGATAATAAAAGTCATTCCATTATAATAAAAAAATCAACAAAACCCAATAAAAACCCTGAAGTTGCTGCTACATTTTTTTTCCCTTCTCGTCCTATTAGCCTCTGTTTTCTCTACCCACCAGCGTTGTTGGTCAGTATATGTAAGGTTTTTGTTATATTTATTTCTCTTTTCATCCCAATTTATTTTGATGATTTTATATCTAATTTTCTTGATTATGAGAACTTAATAGTATTTCTTATCGTGTTTAGAAACTTTAAATTGACATCTTGATATTTGGTATTTTGTTGGTGATGTTTAATACTTGATGTTTTGGTAAGTTGACATTCTATTTTAAACTTATTAAAAGTTTAGTGATTTAAGAGTAATGTTTTATATTGTATATTAAATATTAGAAATATATAATTGATATGTTAATACTATGTGGTCTATGTGAAGTAGTGGCCTATATGAAAGGTCTCCACTACTCCACTATCCCCACTACTCCACTTCATTATTAATGTTAATGTGAAATAAGTGAAAGGTCTCCACTACTATCCCTACTACACTACTCTTCATGTTAATTACTTCTTTGATGGAATGAAATAATTGAGACATGAATTTTAGACTTTTTGGTCCCCTAAGTAGCACTATATAAAGCCTTCTACACAATCTACAAAAGATAGTGCAAGTGCTTAGAAGAACCAAGAAAAATTGCATTCAAACTTGACACCAATGGCCGGAGGTATGTTTTATATATTCATTTTAGTTTCGATTCTTGAGTTTTATTCCGCAATGAATCGATTATTATGCTAACATTTGGTATCAGAGCTTGTTTTTACCTCTGCCTTGATGTTCTAAAATTTATTTTAAACATTTTTTATTTTTTTTGGTTTGAGATTTTTTTTATAAAATTGATGTTGAAAATCATTTTAAGATCGATATTCGTGTAATGTTATGTGATTAGTGTAGTTATGATTAATCTTGAAATAGCCACAATTTTTCTGATTAATTGAAATTATATTTTATATTTTTACAATCACATTTAATAAATAACATAATTTTAATTAATCATACGTGATATAATGAAATTTACCCACAAGAATTTTGTTATATTTTTATGAATAATTAGGATATTATATCAATCATATTTCTAATTTTCCACAGGAATTAGAAAAGGAACGTAGTTGATAGTTTTATCATATGATTAAATGAGTCTAATTGAATTAAAACTTTAGCCCACAGACATGTTTTATGTCAATAGATTCATATTTTTTCATGTCTTACATTGGTAAAAACATGTTTATTTATTTATTTTTATTGCAGCAATTCAATCTATTAATGTCTCTGATATGAAATCCGATATTCTCGATCTTAATGGAGACAATTATAAAGTTTGGAATGAGAGAATTATTCTGCATTTGGGGTGGATGGACATAGATTATGCCATCAAAAAAGATGAACCGCCTCCTATTACTGAAAATAGCACTCCAGATGAGGTCGATCTTTATGAAAAATGGGAGAGATCTAACCGTCTCTGCGTTATGTTCATAAAGACTCGAATATCTGCTGGAATAAGGGGTTCTGTGAGCATTGTACTAATGTCCGTGCCTTTTTGAAAGCTATTGATGATCAATTTCTGACATCTAATAATGCATTGGCTAGTACATTGATAATGCAATTCTTATCCTTAAAACTTACCGGGTTAAGAGGTGTGTGTGATCACATCATGCGCATGAGGGATATAGCGGCTCAATTGAAGCGACTGGAAGTTTATATGTCTGATTCCTTCCTTGTTTACTTTATTTTGTGTACTCTTCCTCTGCAATACGATCCTTTTAAGATTTCTTACAATACACATAAGGATAAATGGTCAATAAATGAATTGATGACCATGTGTGTTCAAGAAGAGGGACGTCTTATTGCTATGGAAGAGGGAGAGAAAGTGAACATGATGGCTGTGACCGAAGGAAAAAATATAAAATATCATGCCAAAAATAAAGGGAAGGAAAAGATTCCTCCACAAAATGACATCAAGAAAGCCAACACGTGTTTTTTTTGTAAAAATAAAGGACATATAAAGAAAAATTGTCCTAAATAGCTTAAGTGGCTTGAGAAAAAAGGTACTCAACTTTCATTTGTATGTTATGAATCAAATATGGTTGATCTTAATCATAATACATGGTGGATTGATTCTGGTTCTACAATCCATGTTACAAATTCCATGCCGGGATTGCAAAACCGGCGGAAACCAGTGGGAAGTGAGTTGAGCATCTATTCTGAAAACAAAATGCCATCACATGTGGAAGCTATTGGGACGTGCAATCTAGTTTTAAGTAGTGATTGGAAAAGACTTTTTACATTCCTAGTTTTGCTAGAAACTTAATTTCTGTTTCAAAACTTGTTTTATGTGGCTACTGTTTTACTTTCACCAACCTTGGTTTTTGTTTATCTTTCAAATCAAATATCATTGGAAAATGGAGTTTTGAGTGATGGTCTTTTTCCACTTAATATGCAAAATATTGATTTCTTTACTACTTTACACGTTCAAGATAATGTCGGTACTAAACAATGTATTATGGACGAAAATTCCTCTATATTGTGGCACCGGAAATTGGGACATATCTCCATTGAGAGAATTAAAAGATTGATAAATGAAGGAGTATTTGGTACCTTGAATTTTACTAATTTTGTGACTTGTGTGGATTGCATTAAAGGTAAGCAAACCAACAAGTCTAAAAAGGGTGCAAAGAGGAGTACAAACCTATTGGAGGTTATACATATAGATATTTGTTGTCCAAACATGGACGCAAGTAGTCCAAAATACTTTATCACCCATTGATGATTTTTCACGTTATATGTACCTCTATTTGCTTCATTCTAAGGATGAAGCTTTAGATGCCTTTAAAGTTTTCAAGCCTGAAGTAGAGAAACAATGTGAAAAATAGATTAAAATCTTCCGATCAGATAGAGGTGGTGAATATTATGGTTGATATATGGAGAATGGACAAGCACCTGGTCCTTTTGCAAGGTTTCTTCAAGAGCATGGGATTGTTGCCCAATACACTATGCCTGGTTCTCCCGACTAGAATGGTGTTGCTGAAAGACCGGACCTTAATGGATATGGTGAGGAGTATGCGGAATAATGTAAAACTCCCTGAGTCCTTGTCGATTGAAGCTTTAAAGACGAAAGCGTATATATTGAATCGAGTTCCACCTAAGGCTGTCTCAAAGACACCTTTTGAGTTATTCAAAGGTTGGAAACCGAGTTTAAGGCATATATGTGTTTGGGGCTTTCAGTCTGAAGTGCGAGTTTACAATCCACAAGAAAAGAAACTAGACCCAAGGACCATAAGTGGATATTTCATTGGATATGCTGAAAGGTCCAAGAGTTATAGATTTTATTGTCCATCTCACAGTACTAAAATTGTGGAATCAAGAAAAGCGAAATTTCTTGAAAATGACTTGACCAGTGGGAGTGATCGCCTTCGGAACGTTGTTTCTAAAAAGAATCATCATGAAGTTCAACCCTCTAATTCAAGTAATAGATTAGTTGTCGTTTATACCCCTCAAGTACAAACCAATATTAGACGACCAACTATCGCAATTCCACACGCTGCTGATACTGATCAAGTAGATCGCACTGTACATGAGGAACAACAAGAAATTTTTGAACAACCAGTTGATATTGTTGATTAACCGGCTAAGCAACAAGTTTCTCAAGAGAATGATGATACAATGTTAAGAAGATCTACTAGAATAAGGAGATCTGCTATCCGTGGTGATTATGTTGCCTACCTACAAGAATGCGACTACAATATTGGAGTCGAAAATGATTATGAAACGTTTTCACAGGCTATGAGTTCATCAACATCGAACTTGTGGTTTCATGCTATGAAAGAAGAGATGGATTCTATGGCATCCAATCAAGTTTGGAATCTTGTCGAGTTACCTAATGGTATAAAAGCTGTCGGATGTAAGTGGGTCTTTAAAACAAAGAAAAACTCGAAAGGTAACATCAAAATATATAAAGCACGACTTGTTGCCAAGGGTTTCACTAAAAATGAATGAGTTGACTACACGGAGACTTTTTCTCCTGTATCAAAGAAAAATTCTCTTCAAATCATTATGGCATTAGTAGCGCACTTTGATTTTGAGTTACATCAAATGGATCTGGAAACAGCATTTCTTAATGGCATCCTAGATGAAGAGGTTTATATGAAACAATCTGAAGGATTCTTCTTAAGTGACGGTGAGCATTTAGTATGCAAGCTAAATAAATCCATATATGGTTTAAAACAAGCCTCTTGTCAATGGTATTTAAAGTTTCATAATGTCATTACTTCATTTTGGTTTTGAAGAAAATGTTATGGATCAATGTATATACCTGAAGGTTAGTGGGAGTAGGATTTGTTTTCTTGTGCTATATGTAGATGATATTTTGCTTGCTACTAATGATAAAGATTTGCTATATGAGGTGAAATATTTTCTCTCTACAAATTTTGACATGAAAGATATGGGAGAGGCATCTTATGTCATTGGCATTAAGATCCATAGGAAATGATCTCGAGGCATTTTGGGCTTGTCTCAAGAGACCTATATCAATAAAATTTTGGAGAGATTTCGGATGAAAGATTGCTCACCAAATGTAGCTCTAATTGTCAAGGGCGACAAATTCAGTTTACATCAATGCCCTAAGAATGATTTTGAGCGGGATTATATGACTAAAATTCCATATGCTTCAGTGGTTGGAAGCATCATGTATGCTCAGGTATGTACTAGACCTGATATAGCATATGTTGTTGGAGTGTTAGGAAGATATCAGAGTAATCCAGGTCCTGACCACTGGAGAGCTGCAAAGAAGGTATTGAGGTACCTTAAAGGGACAAAGGATTACATGCTCATGTACAGACGAGCCGATAGTTTAGATGTTATTGGTTACTCTGATTCATACTTTGCTTGTTGTGTTGATTCTCGGAAATCAACATCTGGCTACATTTCCATGTTAGCTAATGGAGCCATATCCTGGAGAAGTGCAAAACAAACATTGACAACTACTTCTTCCATGGAGGCAGAATTTGTTTCGTGTTTCGAAGCTACTTGTCATGGTGTATGGTTGAAGCGTTTCATATCTGGGCTTAAAATAATGGATTCTATTGCTAGGCCATTGAAGATATATTGTGACAATTCAGCTGCGGTTTTTTGGCTAAGAATAATAAAAGTGGTAGTCGATGTAAGAACATTGATATTAAGTACTTAGTCATAAGAGAACGTATTTAAAGAAAATAAAGTGGTCATTGAACACGTTGGCACTGAATTTATGATTGGTGATCCTTTAACTAAAGGCATGCCACCAAAAAATTTTAAGGATCTTGTGGTACGAATGGGACTTGATTTTGTGATGTAATTTCATTTGTTCGTACATCTTTGTATTAAATAAAACTCTTATTCAATTGATATTTTTCTCATTTGGTTTTATGCGCATATTTGTCTTGAGAAAATTATCGTAAAGGTGGACCTAGAATAAACATAAGGTTATTCATTAAGATGTTTGAGTGGTTTTAGAAATCAAACTACATTGTAATACATGGAAGATAATACTCGTTGAAGAGGGTCTACCGCCATGATGCATGTATTTTGTTTCTCATGGGTTAAATTATAGACCAAGTGGGAGAATGTTAAAATTATGTGGTCTATGTGAAGTAGTGGCCTATATGAAAGGTCTCCAGTACTCCACTATCCCCGATACTCCACTTCATTACTAATGTTAATGTGACATAAGTGAAAGGTCTCCACTACTAGCCCCACTACTCCACTTTTCATGTTAATTACTTCTTTGATGGAATGAAGTAATTGAGACATGAATTTTAAACTTTTTCGTCCCCTAAGCATCACTATATAAAGCCTTCTACACCATCTAGAAAAGATAGTGCAAGTGCTTAGAAGAACCAAGAAAGATTGCATTCAAGTTTGACACCAATGGCCGGAGGTATGTTTTTGGGATTCATTTTAGTTTCAATTCTTGAGTTTTATTCCACATTGAATCGATTATTATGCTAACATGATAAGTAGCCATATTGTCAATTTGTCAACATGGTGAGCACTGTGCCCAAGCGATATGACAGTCTAGTGGTTCCATGCCTAGAACCCGAATGTAACTAACTTTGATTGCCAGTTTAATACTTGCATTTGATGTATGGCTTTTGTTCGTTTATATTGGAGGTAAGAGTGTTGACGCTCACTGTGTGGATTGTACATGGGTCTTTGATCAAATACATGTTACATCTAATTTTTGGTATTTTACAAGGAGTGGAATCATAGTTTGCATTCTTCTGCTAAAAGAAATTGCAATTTATGAGGTATCAAATATACTGGTTGGCTATACTGATATTTTTAATATAAATAGGCTTGTGCCAATCCAAACTTGGGTTAAATAGGCCAAATTTGTTTTGAAAGATTAGTCTATTCGGATGAATATATATATATATATAAGGCCTAGGTCTAGTCTACTTTTCAGCGTTTTGTAAACCCTAAAGTCATTGTCAGTGTCTGCATCTTCCTTCATCTTCTGCCTTTCTTAATAGGAGGTAAAAAACTGTAAGTGTCTGTGGTCCATTTT